ATTTTAATCTAATTATTTAAAGCAATCCAATATATCTGTCTTACAGTTGATACAGAATTACATCAGAAAGCCATAACCGTAACTCTGTTTATCTTTATGTGATGACCCAATCTTATTACTTCTTAAATGTGTTTAGTGTCATCTCTTTGCATCTTCCATCGATTCCCCTGTTGAACTGCTTCTCTTTTCAAATTAACAAGAAAATTAACTCTTTGGTGATGGGTCGATTGGGTGCTTGGTAATGCGCAGATCTATCCATCGGAGCACAGTGTGGCCAGCAGTTACAGTTCAAACCCATCTACGCCAGTCAGCTCACCTCCCCCCTTAGCAGTGAGTGGTGCTGCAGGGCCTACTGGGGGCCCCCCAGGGCCTTGGTCAGGAGGTCCCCCTAGTGGGGCCAACCCCTCCTCACCACACTACTCCTCTGCACCCCACCATCACTCTAACTTACACATGGTAAAGGATTACTTACTGGTTCTGGCAGAGCAAGAGCAGAGCTCATAAGCAGCAGATTTGTTAAAGTGTGGCAACTCATAAATAAAACCATCAAGCACAAATCTAATCTCTAACCTGATTTGCTTTGGTTTAAATAAAATAATTTGGCATCTTCTACTTGTATCCCAAACTACTTGATTGCATCTTATGAACTCTGGACTTGATCGGCCTTTTTATTTTATATTGATACATTTTTGGTATGCGTGTCTTTTAGGGTAATCTTTGTGTTGTTTTTCTCCGGTTGTGTGCATTTTGTTGGTTTTAGCGGCTCATTTTACCATGTTTACCCCACTTAGGTAGAATACTGTTGCTGTTAGGTGCAGTTGCACCTTTTCCAGAGGAGTTGTTCATTGATCATATTTATACTTACTGGTCCCTTCTATAAGAATAATGACATAACACAGTGTGTGTTTGAAGTAGTTTATTATAACATCAATGAATTATAAACCTAAATAATTATAATTGGCCATCAGTCAAATACACACCCTTACTTCTCTTACTTTTCAAAAATGTTTCTCTTCATTCATTTACTAATAGCTTCTGGGGCTTGTTTCATTTAAACAATATTTACTGGGTATTGAAAAATATCTCAAATTTTGAACTGCTTTGCAAATTGTAATTTTTTTGTTTCTACTATTGTTGCTTCACTAGTGCTAGACTTTTAAATTTAAATTTCTGTTTCTTAAAACTTTTCTAATGTTTGATTTTAGTTTGCTTGTTTAAGCTCATATAAATATATAAGATTCATCCAATCAAAGTTTAGCATGAAATTTTGTTTGGTTTTAGAAGTATGGTATTTTAAAAATACGTTTGTTTTTCTTTTTTCGTTTTTCTTTGTTTGATTTGTTGGTTTTTTTGTTTTTTTTTGTTTGGCACATGCCCCTGACGCACTAACAGAGCGCGCCACTTGAAGAAAGATTGGATGCAGCCATTGGGTTCCTACGGGATCATAGTGAAGTAAGACCTGTACACATTTATGTTTTCTGTTGCCATATTTTGCTTTCCATGCAGTATTCAGCTTGCTTTGAAAATTATGCATATTGGAGAAACCTGAAACCTTTGTAGAGTTATGCTTTCACAGTAGCCTTTAGGTGCTATGCTTAGGTTACCAACCTGTATTTAAAATGCATTTTATAGTCTTTTCTGGTACAAAATTTTGACCTAAAAACTATTTTTATTATTGTATTTCTTAAAAAGGGGTTATATGGAAAGTTACTAACTTACAAAAAAGACATTTGGTTTGTAATACATTGGCGCAATGTAACTGTTACCTCTGTGTCAGTATTAGTTTTGAAAAAAGATGCAATTACCTCATTTACCTGTTAGCTCTTTCATATAGTGTATTTTCTTAAAATTATTTTTTCCCTCTTGTCTTTTATTAATTTTCTTTCTATTACTTTTGTTTTTAGGGTACTCGTATGGAAGAACGATTAGATGATGCCATAAATGTATTGCGAAACCATGCAGAGAGTCAGCAACTTCTTGGACATCTTCCACTACCTCCACATCCTCATGGGCACCATACACATTCCACCAATGGTCTCCTTCAATCTGGTTATCACCACGATCCTAGTTTAGACCCCCACCTGGTACGTAGCTGTAGAGTTTTACTTAAAATTCATGTTTCTTCAGTTTATCTTACTGATGTTCATCTATTTTTATCTCTCAGGGAAATGCACATCCTGGTACACCAGGCAGTACAGTCCCATTACCTCAAGGATCATACCCTGGACTTTCAGCAACTCCAGATGAGGCTCCAGTAAAGTTAGAGAGGCTTACAGGAAGTATGTGAACATTTTAAAAAATTTCATTCTGTTGATATAAAAGATTTTTACTAACGTTTTTACTACATCTAGGAAAACGAAAAGAGCCTCCTGACAGTTCAGATACCAAACCAAGTAGCAGCGATTTAATTGGAAGCCTTGTTAATTCAACCTCAAGCAATAAAGGATCAAAAAGATCTCGAAGGTTGGTATATCAAAAAATTTACTTTCCATTTAGTATTATCACATTTGAAGATCTGTTGTTCATCTAACATATGCAAATGCTTTGTCCCCTTGCAGCTGTTCTAGTGCTGATGAAGATTGCAATGAAGATCCTGCATTAAAAGCTCATAGAGAAAAAGAGAGACGCCAAGCCAACAATGTTAGAGAAAGGTATGATAATCATATGAAATTTTTTTGCATAGCATGAATAACTGATGTTTTTCCAGAGCAATTTTATTTTGTTTAGCTGTTTCTAAACTAAAGAACTGAAATTTGTTTGGTGCTCTCCTTGCATATGCTCTTTGTCAAATAGGCCTAAAGAGTACCTTTTTTTGCCTCTAAGAACTTAGCCATAGTGAACATTATGAGGGACTGAGTGGTTAGTGGGATTAGACCGTAAAGGTCTATGGGGTGGGATAAGAATTGTAAAGCACGCTTTCTGATGGCGTTTTGTTTTCCCTCAAGCGAGGACGATGATGATGACCCGGCTCTTAAGGCACAACGGGAGAAGGAGCGAAGGCAAGCCAACAATGCCCGAGAGAGGTAATTGTCCAGTTGATGGCAATAGTTTATGGGACTAACTTGTTCTGGCCTAGTCGCTGAGTCATTGATGGGATTAGAGGGCTGAATTTTAGATATTGTAGGCAGGTAAAGATAAATTCTGTTAGTAAGCCTCTCACTCTAGAGGATTAAGTTCATGAAATCAGCAGAGGTATCATGGTGGGTGATAATATACACATGGATGCTGCATGTTGTATGTAAAAATTATTTTCAGTTCATTTGTTTGACTCAATTGCTGCTTTGAGATATCCTAGGTGACCTTTGCTTTTTCCATTCATCATGTGATGAGCTTGTGTGTTTCTTAACACTCAAAGCTTATACAGATCTAAACTGCCTTCATATACTGTTCTGGTTTGATGTAGTCTCTTGTTTCTTCTGACAGGATACGTATCAGAGACATCAATGAAGCACTGAAAGAGTTAGGGCGCATGTGTATGTCTCATTTAAAGACAGATAAACCTCAGACAAAATTGGGGATATTAAATATGGCTGTAGAAGTGATAATGTCACTTGAGCAGCAAGTTCGAGGTAAGTTAAATTTATGTTGTTTCACTTCAGCATGGTTGTTGCCCAAACAAAATGGATTGATTTTTAAAATATTGTTGTTGTTTTTTATTACCAGAACGAAATTTAAATCCCAAAGCTGCCTGCTTAAAGAGAAGAGAAGAAGAGAAGGCTGAAGACAATACACCAAAGCTTGGAGGTGGACACCATATGGCCCATGGTCCTGGGCCTCACATGGTGCAACCCCCTTACCACGGCATGCCTCCTGTAAGTGCTACCTTACTCTTTCAATTTCAAATAAAAAAAAATATGTTTTGTCTTGTAGAGTTTCTCTTATGTTTCTCATAATTTTTTTTGTCTCTTCCCCAGTTGCAAGGTCCAGCCTCAACCTTACAACACAACCCACCTGGGCCTCAGTAGCATGTAAAGACAAGAAGAGACATCATATTCTTCAAACAAGCCATACCAAAAGCCCACTGAGTGGAGTTATTTTTGTTGTCTTTTTCTATAAAGAAAAATGATTCATGTTAAGTGATGTTTCTGCCTAGTACAACTTTTTAATAGAATATGTGGACAAAGTGTAATGACATTCTATGAACTAAATACCTGTGTGTGTGAGAAACTGTTGCTGTTTTCTCAGTCAGCCATCACAGCACAATTTTCATATGGTGCATGTACTTTGAAAGTTGTCCATTGCCCTGTAAATAATCATACTCACTATGATGTAACATTATGTTGGCTTTGTTTCAGAAGCGATCATAATGTTAAGATTGTGTAAATTGTTCGTGCAATTACAGGTCCTACCCATAAATAATGCATAGTACTTGTTATTGACCATTTGGCATCAGTATGTACCTGTGAATGAATGAAGCAAGCTCCTCATCGAATGTGATAAAGAGTCCTGATCTGTGTGAACTTTACCTAATTTAGTCATTGGCTTTCTTGGTCTAAATTCCTCTTGAAAACTTTGTGCTTGCTAATTTATTTATTGGTACTCGAACACTCTCACATGACACCAAGCCAGTATCTTTATAGGTAATTTTGTATCTTCCCTCTACATTTGTTATCTGACAAAAGAGGCTGCTGTGAAAAATATGTGTGTGTACCTGTGAGAAACTACCCTGAACACATCTCCTCTGTATCTCATTCTCAAAAGTAAATTACCCAATGACATGATGTCAGGGAGGTACAATGTATAGGAGGGTTTAGGGATGTACCTGTGATTGTGCGGAGTTCATGACAAAAGACACGATTGCCTCAATATATTCTTTATCTTGCCTTCAATGAGTTGTAAAATTGCCATTTCCTTTGCTGTTAAAGGAAATTCTTGTATATGGCTGCTTTGGTTTAAATGGGTGAAAGAAGTAAGAAATCAAATCAACTTTCCAATTTTTATGAAAATGTTTAAGTTTTTTGTTGGTCTTCATAGGTAGACTATCTTTTTAAAACTGACAACAGGTTTTATTTATTTCTATTTCTCATAAGTATCTAACTTTAAGAGGGGTCAAGTACTACTCCCTTCAAAGTTTCTTTGCTTGGTTCAATACAACTATGCATGTAAAAAGAAGTCAGGATATACCTTTTCTACTTATTTTTACTTTTTAGTTTGTGTTCTTATTGACCAAAGAACGGATACTTTGTCCTATCCTGTGTCAGTGAAACATTGAGGAAGAAAATATTATGTGTGGCTTATGTGCCATATAAACATATCTCCTCCCTCAAATTTTGTTGGATTTTACTACTGCACTTGAAAACTGCAGGAAGACTTTTGAAAAGATCAAAGCAATGGTGAACTCCAGGTTTTTAAAAGTTATTTTATTACAGTTCCAATTAATTTTCCTTGTTTGTGGACTTCTATTTTGTATTGTTTGTTCAATGTTTAATTTTGTGTGTATCTCTGAAGTACATCACTTAATTATCAAGATAACTGCTTCATGAAGCAGTTTTTGTCACATTTTTCAAACAATGTACATCAGATATCTGATGTGTGGTCCATAGTCAGAAAATTAAAATCATATACCTACCATAGGTAATCTTCAGGGCAGTACTTCTCTAAAGTTTTAATCTTAACTTAAATGTGGTCCATATTGTTCTCTAAATACTGCTCACTATGCATTCTTCGGTTGAAACAAGTTTTTTGTTCTCCCGGTTGATTTAGGTTCATTTTCTCTCAAAGGTATCTACCCTACCCTGTATCATCCTCATCATCCCCTTTATATGTAATCTGAGGCCTGAGTTCATTAATTTTGCTTCCACTCTTTTTTGAGATTTTTTAGTGATGTGTGTGATACCAAGTCAACTGAGGCAACGGTGTCTTTGATTTGATTTCTAAACGAAATGGAAGGGCAGTCATAGAGATTTCAAAGAGACAACAGTTTACATTTATAAAGTGTACATTGTAAATTTTACTACTGGAGAAAGAAACGTCCACATTGTGAATACGAAATATGTGATTGATTTTATGTACCATGTTTGTTAATAAGGTTTGTTTTGACAGTTAAGATTGAAAAATCAGACCTTCTTTCAAGCAAGCATGAAATGATTTGATTGTGTACTATGTAAAAAGTAATAGCGTTACATATAGAATAAAATAATGATAATACTGTATTTTTCATGATGTATGAGTGTGTTGTTGAACATATAAATACACAATTAGTGCTCTTACCCAAATCCAGATTGAGAGAGTGTGAATGAGAGTTAGAGAGATTGTCCTTTAGTTTTTTATTATTATTTTCCTTTTTTTTTAGTAAATCAAATACTGTGTTCATTAGGTTCAAAGTGCTGTTCTGTTGCGGTTTTAAAACTTACTAAATGATGATGTTAAAGTGTTTATGAAATATTGCACTAAATTATGTAATTTTCTACAGAATGGAATGGGTGCATAGAATTCTAAATCAACTAATGCATACTTTAATTGTGGATCCAATGTGTTGTCTTAGAGTTTTCAAAATGAAATTATAAATCTATCAAATTTAATGAGGGGATCAAAATAACAGTACACATTTTGGCTTCCATTTTATTATTTCTAAAGAACACAGCCCTTGAGAAATTGTCTTATTCTTCCGTTATAGTGAGAGAACTGTTTTAAGTGCAAATGTTTTTTTATTCTTTTCTTTTCTGAAAATATATGTGCCATTTTTCCAATTGCATACTTTCATTTCATCCTTACTCTGCTTAGCTGACCACAATCAAGACAAGGATTAATTTGGGGAAGGCCTTGATTGGCTTTGATAGACCGACAAGATACGACAGCAGTAATCAAGAATCTTGAAAGCAAAATACTTTAGGGCTTGTTTCCACTGTCGTTCTAAAGAAATTAAATTCAGTTTCCAGTGGGCGAGTGCACAGTGAGCTCTCTGTTCGGCGGGAGACCCTAGTCCTGACTTGACTGCACTACTTCAACCGATTCAAAGCCGAGTACAGAGAGTAGGAACGTTTCATGATCTGTAAACAAAAAAGAAAAATAAACCTAAACTGAAATGCTGAGGCACGTACGCATGCTGCACCGCAACGGCTCCCGTCGTCCGTGATGTAGACTTACGTCTAGGCAGAGCCTGAGCGTGAGGTTGATGAAGCGGCCGGCCGTCAGGTACAGCGGCCGCTGCGCGCGGAGGATCATGAGGTGCAGGCAGACGCCGTCCGCCCCGGCCCCGCGCCCGCGCGTCCCCAGCGACGGCTCGAAGGCTGCAGACGCCTCCTCGGACAGGTTCGCCGTCTATAGAAAACAAATTAGAAAATAAGGGAAGGACTGACTGAATGGGTTCTGCGCTCCGACCGGCTCAGGAGCCTTACTCGCGAGACAATGAAGCACTTACCTTTTCTGCCACTATGTCGCCGAACCAGCAGAATGTGAGCAACTGACAAATGTTCCAGCACGCATAAGCCAAAGCGAATGTCAGTTTGTATGGATCGTCGCTAAGGGTCTGAGGGGGCCAAAATGGTACACAGGTACAACGGGGTTCAAATACGCAATAACATCACCAGCATCACATCACAGGACTCCTCGTCGACACTGGGGCGTTCCCAATAGAGATGGCACTTTGCCTCTGCAATAAATGTCCCAAGCGGAGATGCGAGTGAGCATTGAGGGGAGTCGTTGGGCGCCCGACTTCTCACAGGGCGGGCCGCCGGCCCCACGCAGCTGCTCCGCGGGTTGGCCTACCCCGAGGAATGCAGGCGCTATCTCCGGCTGGATCGCGACGCATCCAGCGCTTCCAGTTTAGGAGCACCTCTAGGCACAATACTTACCCCATTGGTGATCCGCAAGATGGGTGTCCCGACCCCGATCAGAATGTATATCGTCTGGAGCAGCGTCACTCTAAAGAAAATACTTTCCGTCATGTGATGTAACCTGGAAGAAATGAAACGCATTGAGTTAGTGAAAAAGTCGCGCGGTCAACGAGGAATCGAATCAATCGAATACTGGATGACTAATGAAAGTGCAAAGCCTGCTTGATCAAGCAAATAGGTGCGCTCATCTGTCTGCAGCGAACAACCTGATGATGAGTTGATGGTACACTACGCAGTCTTGCGCACGCGTGACGGCTCCTCTCTCAGAGCTCGGGGGGACGTCGGCCACCGCCCGAAGGGCTCCCTCTCTTCCACTTCGAAAGTGGCGAAGGAGAAGGCAGAGGATGTCGCATTTGCATGATATGTGAAGGCAGAGTGTGAGGAACAGTGCGTCGAAGATTCCTGTCAAGAAAATTGCAGCTTTCTGGTGACGCACAGTGGCTTAAACCAATATATAAACAAAACTCGAAATTCTACGATTAACGGCTTGGGCCACGGACCCGTCGCTATGGGGAAGAGGTACAGCTCGACGCCGATGCCCAGCAGGCAGGGCCAGAAGAGGTAGTCCTCGCGCAGCACCGCCTCCGGCGTCCTGGTGGTGAGCTTCCTGTCGCGCGGGTCGCCGCTCAGCACGGACAGGCCCATGATGGCCATCCCGCTAATGGACAGCGACGAGTACACCAGCACGTAGCCCTTGGCCAGGCGGTTGGTGCGGCGCGCGCAGTGTGCGTTGGCGGCCGCCGCCTCGGCCTGCACGGGCAGCTCCAGGGCGGTGAAGTGGTCCTCCAGGAGGTGGCGCGCTGCCAGCAACTGCGCACGGGGGGACGCGCCAGGGGACTCGGTCAACGCCACTACTACGTAGGGACCGTGCACAAACGTGACTTTTGTTGGAAGGGGGTACAATTATCATGGTGTCCTTGACTGAAACCATGATATTTGTACCCCGGGGTGAAAATATTATGAGCTCTATGGACTCCAGTGAGCGTTGTGAACCTTATTACGGTCCATAATATTTGTATCCCCCTCTCCCGGATAGTCACGCGGTTTGTGGGTTCGTGGGTTACCGTGCGGGCGTGGCTCTGCATGCAGCGCAGCTTGAAGAAGCACAGGCTCGTGGCCGCGGCGTCGCTCACGAGGTCCACGCGCTGCATGGTGCTCGAGTGCAGCCCGAGGCAGGCCAGCGGCAGCACCACCGTCACGCCGAAGAAGTAGGGCAGCACGTGCACGCCGAGGAGGGTCGCGAGGCGGCCGCGGCCCACGGGCCAGGACAGCGTAAGTCTCAGGAAGCGCTCCACCACCTCCAGCACCTGCGAGACCAGCACCAGGGACACTCTTGAGGCATTGGCGCGCGCTCACGGTACTTGTAGCAGACCACGCAGCGTACCATGCTGTCTGTCGTCCTCGACCTCGGCGATCAGAGTGGCGCAGCGCAGGTCAGGTCGGTCCTCCTCCTCGCCCTGGGGTCGACAACTCGAGGGGTGTTTCGCAGAAGGGTTGTTATGGCCAATTTGCAGAGAACCACCTGCTGAGCTTGGGGGCGGTCCTGCGACCGCTCACGGGGGGAGGGGAAATCACGTCATCGCTTGACCTCATTCGGGATCTCTCGAAATTATAGTGCTCGTGTGATCTATGATTGGCAAGGGGTGAGCTACTCAAGTTCAAAGTGGGTTTGAGACTGCTAGTTCAGTGAACTCTTGTTGTGTTGAGTTGGATCCGCATGGCGCTTGGCGGGACCGCGTAGTAGCGCAGGCAGGCAGCCACAAGTCACCCTGTATGCACTGCTTACTGTTATCATTTGAACCATTTCTCACTCTTTCGCTGCTTCTTTGATCCTGCCGCTCACTGGCTTTAGATGGTCGCGTTGAAGTTTTTGTTGGCGACCTATATGGTCCCCGACTTCCGTTGCATTGTCTTACGTCTCATGTTTTGTTTTTATTGTTTTAAGACACAAGATAGAGAGACGCGGTAGAGACTTCCGTAATGCAAAGTGTCATTAACACCTCGTGCACTGCCCTCGCGCATTGTCCGATTTGAAATACAGTACTTGATAAGCGGCTCCGCGTGCACCAAGTTCCAAGTTATAAGCAGGGCGCCCTGCACCCGCACTAGGTGGTTATCACGTCCACGATGATGATCATGTGCCGGCCCCGCGCCCTCCTGCTGCTGCTGCTCGCGAGCCTCTGGGCGGCGCACGCCGCCTCGGTGCCTCGCGAGGCTCAGCCGTCGCTGGCCATCCCGAGCCTCATACCTCCGCTGGCCATCCCGAGCCTCATACCGCCGCTGCCTATCCCGAGCCTCATACCGCCGCTGCCCGTCCCGAGCCTCATACCGCCGCTGCCCGTCCCCAGCCTCATACCGCCGCTGCCCGTCCCGAGCCTCATACCGCCCCTGCCCGTCGTCGCGAGGATCATTCCGATCCCGGCCAGGAGGCCTCCTCGCGCATCCCTCTTCGGCGGCGGCTCGCCACGCATCGTCAACGGCAACAACACGGACATCAAGCAGGTGCCCTGGCAGGTGAGTCAGCGCAGCGGGGGCGTGATCCCATCAGCGCCACCGACACGAGCCGGGCGGGTTATCCTACCGTACACTGATAAACCAAGTGTGCAACTGTTCAACACTTGTAAGGGTGCAACTGCAAGTTAAATACTTGCAAGTGTGCAACTGTAAGTTGAATACTTTGCAAGTGTTCAACTCGGTAGGTGTGCAACTCCTCGGTTGAGCACTTCCTACACACACAGTGAGCGTTCAATCTAAGAAAGTGTTCAACCGAGGAGTTGCACACTTGCAAGTACACACCTATCGAGTTGAACACTTGGAAGAGTGTGACTACGGAGTTGCACACTACTTACAAGTATGCAACTTGCAGTTTCACACTTCAAGTGTTGAGCAGTTGCACACTTAGTTTATCAGTCTACCTACAGGGTGGTCCACAGAACCCTTCCTTTGCTTTGCTTAGACTGTACCGCATGCAGGCGTGCGGGCGGGTTGCAGTCACACGGGGCCCCAAGACGCGCTGGAGAGCGATGATAGGCAAGCCCGCCCGCACTCCTGTGTGGTGTGCGGTACAGTCTAAGTAAAACAAAGGAAGGGGTTCGTGGACCACCCTTTCAGCTTCATACTTCGCAGATAAGCACAAGATGCGTACTCTTTGTGCATCGTTCAGATCAACGTTTCCGTCTGTCGTGTCAGGTCGCCCTGCTGGCCTGGGAACAGTTCTTCTGTGGAGGATCTGCCATATCGGCAACGGTGGTTCTCACGGCCGCCCACTGCGTGCACGGGTTCGTTTTAGTAATCCTTGGGCTTTGGGCTTTCCCCTCTGTGCGTACCTTATTCGCGATATTCATCTGATATTCATCTCTTCCAGAGAGGACACATCCGGCGTCGCGATCCGAGCGGGCAGCTCACTGTCGGAATCGGGAGGACAAGTTGTAGAAGTGTCCGAGGTTGGTCACGGTAACAAAATATCTGACGTTCAAATCTAGCAATTTTCAATTTCGAATGGTAGACGCGGGTAAGGGCGAATCGAAGTGAATACTCAAACCTTCACTGCACTGTAGGTGATCGAGCACCCCCAGTACGACCCCAACGCTACCGACTACGACGTGTGCGTCTTTAAACTAGCCGAATCCATCACGTTCAGCGCAAGTGCTCAGCCAGTGCCAATCGTGCGGGCTGGCCAACAAACTCCGGACGGCACCATCGCCATCGTATCTGGCTGGGGAGATCTCAAGGTATGTAGATCGGTAGCGACGTTATTTTTGTAATTTTTTATTTTCATGTGAGTGTTTTTTTGTTTTTTTTTTACATTTTTTCTCATAGGAGCTAGGATAGGGAACCTAATTTAAAAGCCGAACCTAGACTGTTTTAGAACCAAGTTGCTAGTGCCCCCTCCTATAAGTATCGTGGTTTTAGTGTACGTGATGTACTTCGGCTAGGAATCATACAGAAAGTACGTCCGCTATTCGCCACTAAGAAACTGTCCAGTTCAACCATTGCGATCTCATGGCGCCTGACAGGTAGGCAACATCGTGCCTGTGTTGTGTGCATGTACTGCGAGGTAGCCTACCCCGAGTCTGGCAGGCGCCGAGCTTCAGCAATTTGCCGAACGCGTCTGAGAAAATCGGACGTACTTTCTGGACGATCGCTAACGGAAGAAGAAGACGAGCGAGTGAGTGGGTGGGTGTGGGTAGAACATTCACGCTATGTACTACCCGCTATTCTTCCACCACTACATTTCTTCCCCTCAGACGGGTGGTCCGGCCGCAACGACGCTCCAGTCGGTGTACGTGCCAAAAGTGTCGGATGCCGACTGCAAGAAGGGCTACGGTGCGGCGGCAATCACCACCCGCATGGTGTGCTACGGGCCCCTGGAGGGCGGCAAGGACTCCTGCCAGGTACCTCGAATAAGTTTTCGTTAATTTTTCCCTGATTGTTTTTAGTGAAGCACCTCTTGACGCGAACTAACTTTCTTTTGTTTATTGTCTACGCTACTGCTACTGCATTTGACGACCTTCATGATGTGCGTCACTTATCTCCAGGGTGACTCGGGCGGTCCCTTGGTGGTCAACGGCGTCCAGGTGGGCGTCGTGTCCTTCGGTGGCAAGTGCGCAGCTCCGGGACGGCCCGGCGTCTACTCCAACCTGGCCGACTACGAGCTGCGGGACTTCATCACGCAAGAGGCCGGAGTCTAACCAGTGCGGTCCCGCCTCACAAACATATGATATATGATTGCATGTTAATGGATAAATTTGTTCTCATGTGAGTCTACTGTCCGGATCCAACACAGAAAATATTTATTTTTAATAAATTTCCACCTCCCAATTTTGCCTGATGACGCTTCGTGTGCGAAAATTGATTACACGCCTTCTTCCGTACGACGAAGGAATATATACAGAAATGTGGTTAAACGTTATGATTGAACGTTGAACATGTCACATAGATTTTGAATTTTGAAATTCAGCGCGCTTGGCACCGACTCACAGCCTTCTACGTTTTTGACGTTTTCGTACCGCTTGAATTCTCATACTACACCAAACGTCTGTAAATGCACTGTACCGCAGCAGAAGACAAGCAGAAGTGAAAGCTGACAGGCTGGGCTGACAGCTGGACCTTTTGAACAGACACCTGTTAGGGAAGATCGTCCACCAAAATGTCTTCCATTGAAGATCTTAAGGCGAAAATAAAAGAACTGGAGGAATTACTTGCGGCGGAAAGGTCAAAAAATTCTGAAAATGCCCCAGTGCGAGCGAAAATTGCTCAAATGTCTTCGGAAGTTGTCGACTCGAACCCATACAGGTTAGAAGCTATTTATTTATTATGATTATTTGGAAAATTGAAGTAATGGTACTTGTCTCGTATTATTCCTCTGGGACGTGTATCAAAACTTTATTCACATTTACTCCCTCCTGTTTGTTTAGACTCAATTATGATTCAGTTTTCAGACACGCTATTGTTATCCATATGTCAGAACTTGTATTAATTCATTGGCTCTGTCTTCTAATTTTGCAGTCGACTTATGGCTTTGAAGAGGATGGGGATTGTTGATAATTATGAAAAGATAAGAGAGCTGTCAGTGGCTGTTGTTGGAGTCGGCGGCGTAGGCAGTGTTACTGCAGAAATGTTGACCCGGTGTGGAATTGGGAAGGTATAGTAGTAATTTTGTGTTATTCAATATAAATTCAATGTGAATTATGATTAAATGTTTCCGTATTTATTTCAGCTGGTATTGTTTGATTATGACAAGGTTGAACTTGCGAATATGAATCGACTTTTCTTTCAACCTCATCAAGCTGGTCTCTCGAAGGTAGCTGCAGCAGCAAATACTCTTATTGGGATAAACCCTGATGTGGAGATAGAGACTCACAATTATAATATAACGACCATAGAGAATTTTAATCATTTTATGGATAGAATAAAGTGAGTGAGCTGTTTGCTGTGACCAATAGTGCTTCTCATTTATTGTCAAAACTTTGTAATTGATTGAGAAAAATTAACTTTCAGACAGGGCAGTCTCACTGGTGGTCCAGTCGACTTGGTCCTCAGTTGTGTTGATAATTTTGAAGCTCGAATGGCCATCAACACTGCATGCAATGAGATGAATCAGACATGGTTTGAATCTGGTGTAGCTGAAAATGCTGTCTCAGGGCACATTCAGCTTATAGTCCCAGGAGAAACTGCATGTTTCGCTGTGAGTATTAATCTATTTGGTTTTAAAAACATTCTTAGAAATATAGTTTTTTGTGCACATCTCAAGCTCCTGTTTCATTCCATTCTTCTTCTTCAGTGTGCCCCACCTCTTGTAGTTGCTTCAAACATTGATGAAAAAACTCTGAAGAGAGATGGTGTTTGTGCTGCTAGCTTACCGACAACTATGGGCATAGTAGCTGGATTTCTTGTCCAAAATACCCTAAAGTATGTTTTTATTTTTCTATCCATCCACCTGGTACAGTTACATGTGTTTGGAAAGAGCATTGTTGTAACATTGGCATTTTCTTATTGTAGGTATCTTCTTAAATTTGGACAAACAACCCACTACCTTGGTTATAGTGCTCTCACAGACTTTTTCCCAACAATGCAACTTAAACCCAATCCATCATGTGATGACTCATTTTGTCGTGAAAGGCAAAAAGAAGTTGCTGCACGTCCCAAGCAGAATACACCTGAAGCAATAGATGTAGTAGAAGAAGCAGTAGTACATGAAGACAATGATTGGGGTAAGTTACGTTGTTAGAACTGTTTAGCCTAGAAACATGTTTTTCTCTTAACTTTTTAAACAATTTAATTTTAATAGCTTTTGAATTAATTTTTCTTAAGGTATTTCTCTAGTGGATGAGACACCTGTTGAGACATCTACAGAATCCCAGAATAAGCCTGCAGGTCTTGCTAAAGGCATAGACGTTGCATATGACCTTCCATCCCCCAGCAGTGGCGATTCAGGACCAACCGTACAAGACACTGATGTATCACTAGAGCAGCTGATGGCTCAAATGAAAAAGATTTAGTCTGACTGGTTTGAACTCTGCAACAGTATTTTACATCTGAATAAATTTAAAGATTTTTATTATTGATGTGAGGC